ATTTATAAACTTATTTTTTATGCTACAATCACAATAACTAATCGTAATTGGTGAGAAAAGTAATTATTAAATTATATCTATGTATGAATTTTATTCAAGACCTCTAATCTTAGAGAAGATAATTCATAGTACGTTAACAAAGAAAAGTCTTCAAACTGTTTCAATTATATGTCTAACTGTCACCTAAGGAATCATTCAATCACAACTCTGTGATCGTTTACATATCGATCTCACAACAATTGTCATGTGCTATTTTAAATCAATAGACAAAAATGTAATCATTTTAAGGGCTCGTTTGGTAGTTTACACGTTAAATCTTTGTACACGAGATGATTGTATGAAAAGTATAGAGAAAGAATCATTTTTCATGTAAAATATATTACATTGTTTGGCTATATGTGTAATTAATTTTTAAATTGCACGCAAAGCCGTTGCAGTGTTTCATAAAAGGCATGTAAAGTATTTTACCACCCTCCCCAACGTAAAATATTTTACATGGTACAGTGCGAAATGTTTTTAAAAAAGTGCCCTACAGTTTACATTAAATAATCAAACCAAACAGTGTAAACATTTTACGTCCTTACACTTCGCTTGCAAAGTAATTATTTTACATGCTACCAAACGCCCCGTAAATGTAATACTTTTGCACGTATTAAACTAGTGATGTACATGTATTACTCTCTAAACCTCATAAGATATACACTTTTGTTTATTGAGAGATATACACTTTTTAGAGAAAAAGATATGCATATTCTTATTTATGTACTGTCCTAAAACTCCTAATCTTATTAGTCGGGCCATTTCTTCCACTAATATGCAAAGCTCATTTATTTTTCGTTCAATTTGCTTACTTTTGTACATAGCCAAATAAGTATTTGCCTATCGCCGTCTATGGTGGTTCTACCTTTCCCTATCTGACGTAGCAAATAAGTTCCCCATTTCAAGAAAAGTCTTCATTTCGCCATTTCTCCCAACCTTTCCTTTCATCTGAGACTCAACATCCTCGACGGCTTCAGTTTCATGATCATCTTCTTCATCCATCTTCTCTGCTAACAATGATCGGTACCCTACCTTCTCATCTTCATGGTGGTATATCTTGAAAACAACCAAGTAAAGAGAGACGGTAAAAATGGTGACCCCAATAACGTACCAGCTAAACTGGATGTTGACCATGGATTTGGCGCGTAGGAGAGCTTCTTGGGTGTGGCATCTCACCACTTGGTGCCCCTCCTCAGAGTTTATGAAGCAGCCTTTGGGGATGAGCTGTGGGGTCCACAGCATGACCCCCATCACCATGAACCAAACCCCTTGGAGCATTATGCTGTAGGACCTGACAAAGCTGTTGAAGAAGCTCTGTGGGTAAGGAATGCCCAGCAGGGTGGTGGCTAAGGACAGAAAGATGACAATTTGGAGGAGCCAGTGGTACTGCCCTTCCACCCCCATGTGGTCAGCAGAGTGGAGGTGGAAGAGCAGAAGCTGCTGCCCGAAAGCGATTGCCCCGAGGAACTGGGCAAGAGCATTTCGGGCAGGAGCGGTGGCCTTGTCCAAGATTACGCAGAAGACCGCGTAGACGAGGAAGGTGAATGAGATGTTTGAATGCTCGAAGTTGTGGAGGTGGTCGGAGGGGATGGTCCCGTCCGTGTCCAAAGGTTGGTGCTTTTCGGGACCTATGAAGAGCTCCATGGATATTGAAGCTAAGCAAGCACCCATGATGAAGAATAGCTCCAAGTGTCTGATTCTTGAAGTTGGAAACCATGGGAGAGAGGTGAAGGCCTTTGGACTTCTAGCAAGGACCCTTATGTGGTTCACCAAGTGCCACAGCCCAATCATAAAGAACCCAAACCCAGGTGCCACGTGTCCCACCAATGTCCCCATTTCAGGCCCTCTTCAATTCTGCCCTCTTTTTATTATGGCCTAGCTAGGATTGAATTGTCTGCCTTTAAATTAGAGAACTAGAAAGAGAAGAACAAAAGAATTGAATTGAGTTAATTAAGTTGTATGAGATGGTGACTAATGGTTGGGAAGGGTCAAGGGGATTTATATAAAGATTTTGAGCTGTAAATAAAGAATTCGAACCATAGTATATATAAATGGTAGTCTTAGGTTCCGGAGGCTTCTATATGCGGGAGGGAGTTGAAAGTTTGAATATTTGGGCGGCCTTGATTTGGCTGCTTGTCTAATTAAACTAGTGTTTGATGACTTTCCTAGAAAGGTTTGAATGAAAGTTCAATATTATATATTTTTTTACTCTTAAAATTCGAATACATTGGTGTCAAAAAACCAAATATCGGGTATATTAGTTATGTTATGGTTCACCAAATACGAAGTATATATATACTCCACTTCCTAATTTCTTCTAAACGACCCTATAAATTTTTTATTGATATTAAGAAACCTCAAAAGTTGATCGAAGTTCGGTCAATGTTTCGCTAGCGAGATCTCTCGCGTAGGGTTTTTACTTCGCCGCCCTGGTGCGACGTTTCTTTCAATCGACGCAGCTCTGCGCCGGATTGTCGTGGTTTGGACGTAGCTCGGGATGGATGATCGTGACCAGGGGCGGATCCAAGATTCCGGAATGCCCTGGGCTGAAAAGAAATTCTATTTGACTTCAACTTTAGCGGGGTGGGCTAAATATGAAAATTTTAAAAATTTACACTAAAAAAATTGAAAAAATTTTAAGCTGCCCTGAGCTTAAGCCTACCATAACATATACATAGATCCTCCCCTGATCGTGACAGCGAGAAGATGGTGGAAGAAGCGAGAGAGATACGTAGGGATGATCGGGACATGGTTAGCATGGAGAGGCTGAACGCTCCATTCTGACATGAATTTGGGTCATATGGTGGGTACGCCACTGAAAGGGGGTATCAATCGAGCGACGGTCCGACCTCCGCCTAAACCACCACCATGGGTTGTACGAGGTGCTAGAGTCCGTGAAAGTTTTCCTAGTAATTTTTATCTGTTTGTCATTTATTTTCTTGTGTTCATCTTTGTTGTTGGTTTTGACAATTTGTTTGAGTTTTTAGCCTCTCTTTATGTCATTGGGTATGGTTGGATCTATGGGGACAGGTTTGACTGTGTCAAGCCCACTACATAGTTAGCGATTCGTGTTGCTCTTTCGGGGGTGACCGTCTCAAAGTTTCACCATAGGGTTACAGTCGTAGTTGTTGGAGTTTTAGTTGGTGTCAGTTTTATTTTCCCTTTGCTTGATGTAACGATCCTGAATCTTTTGATATGAATAGAGGCCTATTTTGATGATAAAAAAAAAAGAAACCTCAAAAGTTAATCATTAAAATGTGTCATTTTTAGAACTCATTGAGGGAGTATTATTATTCATGAATTGAGTCACAATAATATTTAAAAAAGTCATTGTTATCCTTATAGTTTGGACTTTGATATGATGACTAGAATCTAAGGGGGATTTTATAATAGTATATACATAGTACTAGTAATATATTCACCATATTCAAAATCTGAAACAAGAGGGCGCATAGGGCTCAACATATTTCAATCTAGACCAAACTAGATATGAAATAATATATCAGTTCAATTGTCACCCCGTTGTTGAAGACTTTATAGTTCTGATTTTATTTGGTCGATTTAAATATGGAAATTTGCATCAGAATTTAAAATATTAGTTGTTTAATATATTCTTTGTCTAATACTGGTATATATGTGAGAAATAAAATATCAGTTTTATGTAAATAAAAAACTATGCTTTAAATAAAATCAATTGCCTAAAAGCCAAAAGGTTCAAAAAAACAAAGAAATAGTTAGATACATATATGATTAAAATAAAATTTGTTTACAAAAGTCGATATCCTAAACAATTACAAAACTCGATATCCTAAGTGTAGTATATTAGTCATAATAATGTATATTCAATTTTTACAGTTAAGTTACTCTGAGACTACTCTATAATAACTATTAGTCAAACATCTAACCCCAATTATATCAATTCGGTTTAGGAACTTTGTTTTGGGTCATCTAGGTGTTTCCCATATGGTGCCTCTTGGAAGAACATGCCCTCAAAAAATGAGACTAAGAATGTTAGATTTCTTCCATCGTTAATTAGTGTTCAATAGAGGCCGCCCTAGCCGAACGTGGCTCTTCTACATCCAATTTTGCTTGCGCTATTAAAGGTGTTTGGAACTGTTTCTGCTTCTGCTTCTTTTTTAAAGCAGAAGTAGAATCAGAATCAGTTTTCAGAAGCCAGTCACCTTCAGCTTCTAAAAAAACTAATTCTAGAAGTAAATTTGAGTACCAGAATCACTTCTGCACTTTCATCCAAACACTCCAACTTCTGTTTCTGCTCCCTGAAGGAGCAAAAGCAGTTTTAAGAATCAGATCCAAACACCCCCTAAGATTCTTTGAAATGAGAATTCCTAAATTGTCTAGATTTGAATTTTATTTCTACCAAATTGGTAGTCATGAAAAACTAATTAAAATAAATGATTGAAAACACGTAAAAAAAATAAAGACTCCTTCAATGATAAATATGAAGTTCATATTAATTAAGACATGTAAAAGAAGATCGATAGCGGATATGTCCTGTCGTCTCTATTTCGAAAAGGTTTGTCATATTGACTTTTCTTTATTAAAATAGATTATTATTGATTAAGAAAAATAAATTTGACGAACGTTTCCAACGAGGATGGGAAAAAATCAACCCGCCACTTACTTTTGCACCGCTTTTTCTTTGACTCTGAAATTTCTCTCATGATGTTAAATAAATATTAGTTATTAATATTAGTTATTACGTAGCAATAATATTTATTCTATTTATTAACTTTAACACACCTACAGAAGCATAGCTTCCTACAGGTGTTAGGCTTTTGCGTACGTATTGTTTTAGTCCAATTAGGACTTGTGTTGCTTTCGGTTGTCTATATATTCCAGCAGTAAGCTGAAGAATAAACAAGACCTTATTTTCCACAATACTTGTTTCGTGTTTTTCATGGTATCAGAGCCCTGCTCTAGTGAGCAGCGTTAAACATCGGCTAAACTGATATGGCCGGCGATAAAGATGACGAAGATAGCAAAGCCAGAACTTCCCCCATAAAAATTGATTATACCTCCCCATTTTACCTTGGACCCCAAGATCGACCGGGGAATTGTGTTACTCCCATTCGACTTAACTGGGAAAACTACGACGATTGGGCATGTTCTGTGCGTCTGGCGCTAAGAGCACGTCAAAAATTCATTTTTGTAGATGGCGTACAAAACCTACGAAAATCATTGTACGGAGGAAGACTGGCACACCATTCATTCCATGCTCGTGTCGTGGTTAATGAATGTCATAGCACCGGAAGTACGAAGTACTCTCTCTCAATACGAAGATGCAAAGCTCTTATGGGAGGATCTTAAAGAAAGATTTTATGTCGTTGGTGGATCGCGGATTCATCAAATAAAAGTGAACATAGCAAGATGCGAGAAGTCGGCCTCTACGACAGTTGCAAAATATTACAGACAATTAAAGATGTGATGGTGGGATGAATTAAATAATTACGAACCGCTCTTGGCATGTACATGTGGGAAGTGTACATGCAAACTTGGAGAATTACATGTTCAGCGACGTGAGTCGGAGCGCTTTCATCAATTCCTAATGGGGTTGACTCTTGAATTCTATGGCCAAATACGCTCTAATTTGTTATCTCAAGTACCTTTACCGACCTTGAATAGAGCGTATCATCAGATCACTCAAGAGGAGTGCGTCCGTGGATCTATACAGAAGAAAGAGAATAAACCCGAGATAATGAGCTTTGCGGCAATGAATGTGGGCAAAGAAAATCAGAAAGCTCCTAAAGTTGACAAGTCAGGAGTGGTTTGTACCCACTGCAACTTTTCGGGCCATGAGATTACGGGTTGTTTTCCGTTAATTGGTTATCCGGATTGGTGGGGGGATCGGCCACGTGGAAATATTAAGGGCGCTGGACGAGGAAAAGGAGGAACAGGGCGTGGACCTGCTGCCGTAAAGGCACATGTAGCGGCAAGCTCAGTCCAGAAGGGTAATCCGCAGCACGAAACTGAAGCTTCTACCTCGGCGCTTCCAGGCTTCACCGCTGAGAAGTGGCGGGCACTCACTGATGTGTTTGGTAAAAATACATCTTCTAAACACATGACCGGTAAGTTTAATTCATCTTTGTGGATACTTGATACCGGGGCAACCAATCATGTCACCGGAAGAATTGACTGTCTAACTGACATTTGTGATGTGAACGATTGTCCGGTCAACTTGCCGAACGGACAGATTGTGATGGCAGCAAAGGAAGGGACGATTGTATATTATCACAATTTGTGTCATTGAAAAATGTTTTATATGTACCCCAATTGCAATGCAACTTGATATCTGTGTCACAATTGACGGATAATTTAAATTGTGTAGTTCAATTTGTCACTAATATTTGTGTTATTCAGGACCAACACTCGAGGAAGCTGATTGGAACAAGTGAAAGATGGGATGGCCTGGACTATTTCAAGCAAGATTTTGGTCAGTGTGTGGTGGTCAATGGAGTGGATTTGCCGGCAGATCTGTGGCATAAAAGGTTGGGACACCCATCTAAAGATTTAATTAAGTCTTTGTCATCTCGTGGTAGTAGTGTTGTTTTTCCTTGCGACATTTGTTTTCGTGCTAAATAAACTCGTGAAGTTTTTCCGTTAAGTAATAATAAAGCTACAAGGATTTTTTAGTTGCTTCATATTGATGTATGAGGTCCTTACCCGACTGTTTCAACTTGTGGTGCTAAAAGTTTTCTCACAATTGTTGATGATTTTTCTCGTACTGTCTGGATATACCTCTTGGTTGTTAAAAAGGAAGTGTACACACGTTTCATGTCATTTGTTGCTTTAATCAAATGTCAATTTTCTCAAACCATTTGTCGGGTGCGAAGTGATAATGGTACTGAGTTTATTTGTCTTAAGCAATATTTTGATGATAATGGGATAATATTTGAAACATCTTGTGTGGGGACACCTCAGCAGAATGGACGCGTAGAGCGTAAGCATCGTCATATTTTAAACGTTGCCGGCGCTTTGCGCTTCAAGGTACATTACCTATTACTTATTGGGGGCAGTGGCGGACACACATGGGGGCTATGGGGGGTTGCCGCCCCTCCGGAGAAAAAAAATTCTAGGTATATTTACCCCAAAATTTTTAATATATATGTATTTGTATGTATATTCTTGTACTGCTGCCCTTGCTATCCGGAAATCCTGCGTCCGCCGCTGATTGGGGGGAATGTGTTTTGACAGCGGGATACCTAATTAATCGTACACCTTCTAGAGTTTTGTCTCAACGCACACCTTTTGAAGTTTTGTATGGACGGAAACCAAATTGTTCGGAACTACGGGTTTTTGGATGTTTATGCTATGCTCATAATCTTAAAGCCAAGAGTGATAAATTTTCCTCCCGTAGCCGAAAGTGTGTATTCTTGGGCTACCATTTTGCTAAAAAGGGGTGGCGTGTTCTTGACTTGGAAACTTCAGAGATTTTTGTATCTCAGGATGTACAATATTTTGAAGAAATCTTTCCGTTTTAAACGCCACCTGAGCCGCCCAAACAAGATGATTGCATGGATCACGTTGGTGAGTGCATGGATGTTGTTTTTGATGACCCACCGTCTGTGCAAAAAAAATTGGCAAAGAAAACTCCGAATGTTGACTCTTCTGCTGATACACAGGACATGACAGAGCATTCAGAAGATAAAAATGAAGCAGCCGCTGATTCCCAGGTACCTCCCACGGCCTCTACTTCGCAAACAGTTCACAGAGGGACTCAAGTGCGGCAACCTTCTGTTCGCCTTCAAGACTACGCCACACACACTGTCATTCCTCCTCGGCCATCTCCATCTCACTCTGAAACTCAACATTCCTCAGGTAATCCGTTTCCTATAACACATTATATTAATTGTGATAAATTTTCTAACAAACATGTCAAGTTTCTTGCCGCTATTACCGGTGGACGTGAACCGCGTAATTTTAAAGAAGCCATGACCGAGGCAGGTTGGCGCCAAGCAATGCAGTCTGAGATTCAAGCTCTCGAAGACAACAAAACGTGGGAATTGACACCTTTACCTTCAGGCAAAAAGGCTTTGGGGTGTCAATGGGTGTACAAAATTAAATATCGTGCAGACGGTAGTGTGGAGCGTTATAAAGCCCGACTGGTGGTTCTCGGAAATCATCAGGTTGAAGGAATTGATTATAATGAGACTTTTGCTCATGTGGCTAAAATGGTCATTGTTCGTGCTTTCTTAGCTGTTGCGGTTACTAAAAATTGGGAGCTGCATCAGATGGATGTTCACAATGCTTTTCTTCATGGGGATTTGGAGGAGGAAGTTTACATGTTTTGTCCTCCTGGATTTAAGACTTCGTCTCCTAATCAGGTGTGTCGATTATTAAAGTCTCTGTACGGATTGAAACAAGCACCTCGTTGTTGGTTTACTACAAGAAATTAGGTGTTTTACCCATACATGCATGTGTAGGTAAAACAATAGGTATGTGTGGGCAATAGTCTTTACCCACACATATATTAAGTGTTACGATGTGTGGGTAAAAGTCTGTTGGTAAAAGTGATTGCCAACACATAAATTATGTGTGGGTAATTGTAGTGTTTGTACCTACACATGTATGTGTAGGTAAAACATTATTAAATGTGTTACTATTGGTCATCCGAGCGTTGATATTGTGACGTGGCTGCTGACGTAGAAATCCACGTGGCTTCTGACGTGGCATGTGTCGTGGAAATCCGAGTGTGACGTGTACGCTGACATGTCATATTTGCTGTCTTGAACACTAACACGTGGACATACAAGATGTGTGGGTAAAAGTAATTTGTATGTGTGGGTAAAATTTAATGTTAAGTGTAGGTATTAGTAGTTATGTGTTGGTAAATTCTCGGTCTCAATTTTTCATTTAAATTGCTGAATTTAGTTATACAATATTAATAATACAATATGATATATTCAAAAATGAACCACGTTAAAATTTCAAAGCTATCCACATCTGGCAACACAAAATCAAAACCAATCCTTCAACATCTAATTTTCAAGTCTAACAAAGCCAAACATGGCAATACATGTTATGCCAAAATATTAGACTTCAACTACTACAGTACTATCACACTTGATCAAATTCACATGTGAAATCCTCACGGCCATCATATTGTTGGCCCCGTCCAATGGAAAAAGAGCCACGACTTGGTGCACCGAAACAATGATCTACTGGAACACGTGACATGGGAAGAATGATAGTCTTCTCAATCAACAATTGTTACATCATTTCAACCGTATCTGAAAGTTCTCCAACACGAATAACTGAAATTAGAATCTATTTTATTTAAATATATTGCAGATAGTAATTTATATAGAAAATGTTAAATAAAGGATCACAAATATAAACATTTACTACGTACTTGATAGTAAGTAATTGATTTCACTAACCTGTTTGTGGCTCTTCAGTGGGAGACCGGTTCATAATAGGAATCCTACCACGTGCATCATGGCCGCCTTGTCCACTAAATCCACCTTGTTTTAAACTAGCCATTTAAACTTTGTCCCAACAGTTATAATAAAAAATCAGTTTTTTTAGAAGTTGACAGTTTATACTCCTATAAGTTTTGAACTTGAAATGTGAAACTAATAAAAGCATACATGTTAATCTTTGGATTGAAGAGAGATCTGATTTGTTTCTTTCTTGAACCTGTAAAGCATATAAAGAAAATATGACAGAAGCATGATATAACTATGCATTATCGTATTAAGCTATTACACTCTCACACATTGATGTGCAAAAGTTACATGAAAATAGCAATACATGATAGTTGTAATTTATTATGCCTTCTATACTGAGTCATAATACAAGTCCCCTTTCACTTATGTGACACACCTTATTGTATTTTATTATGCCTGCTATACTAAGTCACACACAATTCCTAAGCAGACCTGGTAGTCTTAAATAGATTTCTATTTGTTCTCTCTATAGTGCTAATGATATACCGGTGAGATGGGAGCCTAATATGTGCATGGCATTATTTGAATTGGGGCTACACTTGAAGTTTCTAATTTAGAATCATACGATTCATAAGGCTAAGAAATACAATAAAGAAAACAGCTAGTCGAAGGACTCCTCTGCTCCAGAAGCAAAAAAGTTGATAAACAGCCAAATAAACACAAACATACATAAATATAATACTATCGTAGATATCATGGATGAACCAAATAAACTCATCAAATCAGTAATAATTGAAAATCGTTTACCTTGTAGAAGCGTCACCAACCAATACAGAGGATATATATATCAAGCAAACATTGTCTTGTTTCCGTCCAATTATTCGCCGGTGACCAAATATTCACGGCCGACTAAGTAATTAATCGCCGCCGCTGCTGCTACATTCTCTGATCGGGAGTTTTTTTTTATAGATCAATAACACCAAATAGCAAATCACCATATCACAAGTAATTGAACAAATTGTAAAAAATAAAACAATGAGACCCAAAATCCAATACGGAGTACAACAATTAAATAGAACTTCCCGGGATATAGAGGCGGCAACTCGCAAGAGAGGGCGGCAAGAGCCAAATAGGCGAATAGCAAAGGCATAATCCTAAATCCGCAATCAGTGTTTTTTTTCAAATCCTCAATCGGCCCAATTGTTCCATAAGTTCAGTCGTTCTCGCCTCAAATTTTCAACAATTTAGCTCCAAAACCTAATAGTTGAAAAACAATAATGATATTTGACTCGCTGAACACTACATTGTCGTTTTACCTATACAGATTACCATATTACAGAGAGCCTCTTTCTGAAAAGAGAGAGATAAACCACTTAATCAAAAATAAAACTTGATACCGCACCTCTTCATGAAATTAGGGCATGCTGGCCAAGAATAGAAACCGACCTGCCTTCCCCATGTCTTGTGTTAGCTGAGATTTGCCATTGTTTCGGGGACTGGTTTGAATACGAGATACCAGGTGATGGCTTACATTCGAAAAACCAAAATATGAGAAAATGCATATTATGAGTACACTACTAATGATAGCAAAAACATATAGAAAGGGATACACCCCCACCCCACTGTGCCACTATCATCTATTGTCTACTACAAAAATAACTAAATAATGTAGAAAGGGCTAAAAAAACACTAATGGAACCATTGACGGGAAGAATTGCTCAATTCTCACCTGGGTTCAATAACTGTTCACATATTCACGAGGTTCTACTCAGCTTAATGTTTTGATTTATGTTGGTGACTTAATTATTTCGGGTAATGATGTTACTGTCATTCTCATGTTCAAGAATTATTTGCATGCCTGCTTCCATATGAAAGACCTTGGACCCTTAAAATATTTTTTGGGTATTGAAGTTGCTCGTAGTCCAGAAGGTTTGTTTCTTAGTCAGCGAAAATATACTCTGGATATTCTTACCGAAACTGGATTGCTTAGGGGAAAACCAGTTACTACGCCCATTGAACAAAACCACTGCTTGCCCCGGTCCGAGAGTGCGCTGCTGCAGGATCCGGCTCCCTATTGTCGATTACTTGGACGACTGATCTATTTGGCCGTTACTCGTTCTGATTTATCCTACTCTATTCACATACTTTCCCAGTTTATGCAAGCTCCGCGAGATGACCATTGGTTGGCAGCTTTGAGAGTAGTTCGTTATTTAAAAGGAACGCCAGGTCAGGGAATTTTACTTCGGTATGACAGCGTTCTTTCTCTTACCGGTTGGTGTGATTCTAATTAGGTTGCCTGTCCGCTCACTCGTCGGTCCGTTTCTGGTTGGATTGTGTTTTTGGGTCATTCTCCTTTCTCCTGTCTCCTGGAAAACCAAGAAACAGGTTACGGTTTCTCGTTCGTCTGCTGAAGCTGAGTACAGATCCTAGGCGGCAGCAACGTGTGAACTAAAGTGGCTGAAGGCACTTCTTTTGTGCTTGGGCGTTAATCATCCACATGTTATTCCTTTATGATGTGATAGTCAGTCAGCTCTTCATATTGCCCGCAATCCTGTCTTCCATGAACGCACCAAGCACATTGAAATGGATTGTCATTTTGTTCGTGATGCCATTCAAGATCGTCTTATCGCTCCTTCTTACGTACCGACTACACTACAACTTGCAGATATCTTCACTAAAGCTTTGGGATCTTCTCGTTTTCAATTCTTATTGCACAAGTTGGGCATTTGTGATTTGCATGCTCCAACTTGAGGGGGGGTGTTAAATAAATATTAGTTATTAATATTAGGTATTAATATTTATTCTATTTATTAACTTTAACACTGAAAGAGGGTATCAATCGAGCGACGGTCCGACCTCCGCCTGAACCACCACCATGGGTTGTACGAGGTGCTAGAGTCCGTGAAAGTTTTCCTAGTAATTTTTATCTGTTTGTCATTTGTTTTCTTGTGTTCATCTTTTTTGTTGGTTTTGACAATTTGTTTGAGTTTTTAGCCTCTCTTTATGTTATTGGGTATGGTTGGATCTATGGGAACATGTTTGGCTGTGTCAAGCCCACTACATGGTTAGCGATTTGTGTTGCTCTTTCAGGGGTGATCGTCTCAAAGTCTCACCATAGGGTTACAGTCGTAGTTGTTGGAGTTTCAGTTGGTGTCAGTTTTATTTTCTCTTTGCTTGATGTAATGATACTGAGGGGGCGTTTGGTTCTTTGCACATTAAAACTTTACACGCAAAATGATTGCATGTAAAGTGTAGGGCGGTGATTAGTTTGCATATAAAATAGAAATACATCATTTGGTTATGTGTGCAATCTGTTTTTAAATTACACACAAACTATTTGCATTGTTTGTTTGGGAATAACATCACACGTAAAACATACATAGTATCAAACGTGTTAAGTGCTAGCTTTGATCAAATAAACTGTCTGTGAAGTTCTATAAGAGAACGACGTGCAATCTGCTTTTACTCTTTAATCCACTTTCTCAAATAAAGTCGAAACATAATTTGATAATCTCTTTCAAAAATAAATTCCACAAATTACACAAAACATCTCAAATAAACATGCCAATTAACTAAAAACACAAGCACAAACGTACCTCTTGCAATACGGAGAGCAGGGCAACGCAATCAAGGAAATATGATGAGATATGGTTTACGATTTTGTGTGCTTATATAGGAGATGAATTTGGTTTATTGCGGCCAAAGTTTTTTGTTTTTGCCGCCACTCTCCTAATTTCTAGCGTAGGTATAAATCGTAGAAGTTTACTCCGTATTAAATCGTTAAATATGATAATACTCGGTATTAATTAATGAATGTAAACTAGTTTACTATCCTCCCCCACGTAAACTATTTTACATGGTACAATGTAAAATGTTTTTAAAAAAGTGACATACAGTTTACATCAAATAATTAAAACAAATGGTGTAGAATGATTACTCCCCTCCACTTTACACGCAAAGTGTTTACTTTACACCGTAGCAAACGAACCTTGAATCTTTTGATATGAATATAGCCCTGTTTTGATAATTAAAGATAAGTTACGTTGAAGCCTCTTTGTCAACTACCCCAAACTCCTATCCAAGCTGCCGTGTTAGCCAAGACATAGCTTCTCGCCTTCTCCACTTCCACCTTTCATGGTTGTACGTGTCTTATTCTTTTTGTTGACTCCATGAAAGTTGTTCGCGTAATTCATCAAGTTCCCAATGTTGCGTTGTGGCTTGAAACAAGTTGAATCACTTATTACCAGATTACTTTGATTAGCAATTCAAAAAAAAATGGATCATATATATTTTGATTAGCAATTCAGCACAGAGGCTAAAGAATCATATATTTTGGTCTCTCAGAACTTTGTTATCTTTGAATTTTCAAGACAATGGTTGTAAAAAAATTTAATCATGATTTTGATTTGTATTGTGTGCAATATTTTGGAAGTTATAAATTTCATACTACTTTTTTTGAAGTTAAAAAAGGAATACTTTTTTAATTTACTTTTAACAAAAAATATTTTCATATCATTTTTATATTATAAGTAACTTCTTATAAAAATATGTAATTGGTGAAAGTTGAACACGATTGATCGAAAAATGCAAATATGACAAAGTTTTAAGGGACCAAGTAAAAATATATCATTTTGAAAAAAATATTTGAAGTTTCCTTCTTATACTCCCTACATTCTGAAAAGGTCAAATCGACTTTCTTAAATCTCGTTACTTTTTTTACTACAACATTAAATAAAATTTTACCCACTCCCTAACTTATTTTATATATTCAACCAATACTTTATCTTATGATAAAAAACAGTCAACCAAATTGAATGGAGACAATATGTTTCCTTGGAGAGGAAGCTGATTTGCATTAATTTGAAAGAGACTAGAAAATTTTGTTCGTCACATGTTATGCAAGCAGAGGTTACGTTAGCTATGAACCAACTTTTTGTTTAGGTGAGCTACGCAGTGAGGTGGCCTACGGCATTCTAGATGAATTGTTGACTAATAAGGGGTAACTTATTAGAAAAATCAATATTAGCCCCCTAACGTTATGCAGTGTCGAGAGGAGAGGGGAAAGAGTCAGATTGGTACTCGAAGTTGCATAAAAAGGGTCGAATAAGTCCTTATATAGGAGGCTCTGTCCGGCCATCGTCATTTGGGGCGGTTCCCAGTGCCGTGATTTTATTTAAAAAATGATGAGTACAAAGGGAGGGGACCAGACCAAAACCTCCCTAATCCAAAGAAAAAATACAACTTGTTGACTGGGGGACTAGACCGAAACCTCTCCGGAAAAATTTCACAAAAAGTTCCAAGATTAAAAACCCCAAAGGATCCCACCGAATGAAAAGGATTATAAATAGACATACGGGATAGATAAAGCATCCAACTTGATAAGTTCATGCAACTCGTTTGGCATCTGGTCCCCGGCCCACCACTGGAAACTACCATTTAAGCCCAACTTTGCAATTGAAGATGTTGGCCTGTTTGCCTGGGCCGGAATAAGCATCCATTTCGGATTTAAAGAAACTTGACCCGCATACATAATACACATATCTAACATATTAAAATAGGAAACATCAATATGTAGATTAGGAAACCCAAACGCCCTTACCCACTTCAGTGCTTTCCGGAAAGCTTCATCTTCCGGTAAATGCACCTCTGGAAATGCACATCCTGTAATAAATTAAAAGAGAATCTTTAGTCTGAGTATTAAATCTAAAAAAATCCTAAAGTGAATGAGAAGAGAATTAATTTTGACGGGAGTGCAGTGATTATTACCGGATGTGCAGTAAAGTCATGCATTAATTTTGTGCAGTAACGGCAATATAAAGTGCATTAATTTTAATTGGACGAAATTAGTACAAAATGCACATATTCTAAATAAGGGTATTTTGGTCATTCAACCTTTAAATATAAACGTTTTTTTTTTATTTTGGGTCATAAAAAGGTATAAAAACTAGTTGTTTTTTTGTCTGAGGTATAAAAACTAGTTAGATCATAGATTGAGAAACTCATTGAGTTTTAGTCATATCCTAGGAAATTTCCCTTGTTATTACACCTTTTTCAAATTTATAAGATTTTTTGTATTAGGAGAAAAATACTTCTAATTATAAGAAGTACTACTTAAGTACCACTACTTGCTATTTCTACTTCCTCAAAACTCAAAATCACTAGCTTTCAAGGACTTCCTTGCTTAAAAGAACAAAGAGGAATTTGACAGTGCACCTCACTTTTTGAGTGATATTGGACTTTGCACCCCATTTTAAAAAAACTTTGATTTTGCATCTCATTCCACTTAAAATTCATTTGACTTTTCACCCTATTTAAAAAAAATCTTCACGAAATGGTATGTATTGACAAAATGTTATGTATTGGAGTACAAAATAAAATTGACCCAAAAAAAAGTCGGAGCAAAGAAAACAGGGCTCTCAACTATCGCCCGCCCGCCCACCCACCGTATACCGCCGTGCACCTTTGTCGTATTTTCAGAGCTTATTCCCGTTTTCGGTCCAAATGGAGGGCAGTGGTTGAGCTTGGAGTGTGTAGTTTGAATATAAGTGAATTGGAAATTTGGAATAGAACAGTGGCGTGTTTACTGATGCCTTCAGCTGAGTCTTTCTCATAGAAATGGACAATTCTGCTTCATCTGAAGAGCCTCAGAAGAAGCGCCCTCACCTCAGCCCCGTTATCCTTTCTCCCGTGGCTCGTCACTCTGTCTCCTCTTCCGATAACAAAACGGTAATCTTGACTCTCTCTGTGTCCATCCGACACTCTATGTCTGTATTTCAATGGTTCGTTTGGGAGGTAAAGTGATAATGAGCTTTTATTGTACTGTTAAAGAAATTTGATTTTCAAAGGGTTACGGGTTTGGTTCACTTGTGTACCATTTTTTGCGAATTCAAAATGTGGTGTTCTTTTATCGGAGATGCTAAAGCTGATTGGGTAGAGGTTTTAGATTGTGTGATTCAAGCTGTAAAATTCAATATGGGCTTATTAGTTTTTGAGAAACTTATTTACTATTGGAATTGCAACTTTTTGTGATATTTGGTAAATTGCTTAAATTGTGTGAAAAGGGTTCTATGAAACATAAAGATGAGTTTTTTTTTATATAACATGGTGCTAGCATAAGAATATTTGGACTGCAGAGTTAAGTTTGTAAAACACACTAAATGCCGAGCCTTAGAACCAGGATATTGCAAATTGCAATAAACTACTATTGTTAGTTTTGTGATTTTATTATTAAATAAAAGTTTATGACTGAATTGTTCCATGATATGCAATGTTTTCTTGCCACAATGTGTAATATATAAAGTATGTTTTTAGTTTTTACTGAATGCAAATATTGAGTTTTAAAGATTTTAATGCTGTGGCATATGGTTTTGCAAAATTTTGTTCTTTGTGAACTTGAGGCACTGTGAAATTTTGAGTTTTCGCTTTCCCACAGAATGTTCCGCGCATGTTTTATGTTCTAACAAGTGCTAAGAATAGTAAAGTAGGGATCTTGTTAAGCATAAATTTGATGAGTGGCTAGTATACTTTAGATCATTAGATGTTAACATGTAGGTTCTTAATTCGAGCAGGTTGTTGTGCAATGTGCATTACAATTCTGAGCACTCTTGAAATTTAGGGTTTTAGGTTGCTCATTATGAGTTAGCTTCATACGGCAACAGGAGTCTTTTTCATATGTTAGTGATTGTTATCCTTTTGAATTATTTTGCTTAGGCACTTAAGCTGTTCTACCAAAATTCAGTACTGTATCTGTTTCTCTTTTAGTCATTTCCCCCAAATTTTATAAATATGCTAACTTATTGGAGCATTGCAATTAGAATTTGTGGCAGTAGAGGGATCCAGAGATATTGATACCAATTTATCGTTGTTTATTGGTGTCACTCTGACATGTTTTGCCACAACATGACACTTTACACTCCTCTCTTCACTTATTTTTTAGTGTTACAGAGTCTACTTATTAGTTTTTGAAAATTAGTTCCATCCAGCTAATAGACTTAGCACCCTCACTTCAAGTTCTGGTGATGATTGTGTCATACTATCTGCATTAGCACTTTTACCTTTGGATTGTGATGTTATCATGGGTATTATTTATGGGTACTATATGTATAGTGTTGCAATTCAGGGCAGAGTCCAGCAGACTGGCCTCCGTTTGTCAAAGTGATTATTATTTAGATTTGTGCAACATCATATGACACCAAATTGACCAACATGTGGAGTCTAACTTGCTAGTGAATGATTCCTTGTTGGAAATAATGGGAAACATAGCATAATTGTTTTTTTTTAACTTTTTGTGCAAGATGCTTTATATTACCAATCAAAATCAGGACTTGCACTGCCTTTTACAAGAACCTGGTGCTTCATGATAGAAATATTACTCCCTCTGTCCCAATTTAAGGTTCTCACTTGCATCTTTTGGACGTCCCAGCTAAAGGTTCTCATTTCTACTTTAGGAACTGATTAGCACTCTTAAATGAAAATTTAATCTTCAAATATTAAAAATAATACATCTATAACATCACGGTTATCATCAATGACATCATTATATTATATACCCATCAAAACTATTTCTCAAAAAAAATACTCAAATTACCTTATTTTATTATTGTCTATATAACCGTGCCGTTTTGAAATAGAAACCTTAAGCCAGGATGGAGGTAGTAAATGATAGAGGCAGAAATTGAATATTAATATTACCTTGAAACAATGAACATTCTTCCAGTTCTCTTTCGCCATCAAGAATATACAAAACCATTAGTTGGAATTCGGGAATAGACCGTTCAACTATTCAAAGTGATACACCTGAACAAAAGGTTGTTCTTGAAATGAACGTCAATTTCATATTTTCTATTTGAAGATATATTTTCTAATGCTACATCCCAAGCATTATGATGAACTCCATATTGGGTATTACCGTATTATTGGTTACAAATGTCTCTATTGGTATGGACATATAAAGATGAAAAATGATATGCATACACATTCATTTTTGTTGTATGATATGATGTCTTAATTAAAGGGAGACATGTGTCATGTTCCTATTAATGGAGAACATGTACTATTTTTTCTCGGGTTTAAAGTGAACTTACCATTCTTTTGTTCAAAGTTGGTTCTTCACTACTGTGATCCCTGCTGCCCAATCAAGGCAGGAATAGGTTGATTAATAAGTTAGGCCCTTTCTAAAAGTATCCAATAATGTAGAAGGAGGCAACATACATGTCTTTCCTATTTTGAAATACACCATTTGATTTTCTTTCTGTTGATGGGCATCTGGTGGTATAATCATTTACACATTGCTTATGCATGTTCTCAGTAATGGTTTACATTATACTTTATTACCATACACATTTGTATGTCTATATAGTATATGTGCAAACATATACGGACGTGCTTGCCGTCATTTATGACGCCGTCCTATATGGTGTTAAGATACGACGTAAGAAATGAATTATAACAAAGAATAAATATCAAGTGCTTTATTTGTGAAAACTGAAAAGAAATAATTATATGGTTTTACAATTCGAATTGAGATGTAATTCCCCACCAAGTCATTGGACTTTTATTTTTCCGCACTGCATATGTGAGGTAACAGCAGTAACAGTCTAAAGAAATTGAATCTAGGAAGAACAGAAAAGGAATAGTATTCCCTTTTTTGCAGGAATTCAGATCATCAAAGGGTATTTAAGTGTTTGGATCAAATGGAAAAAATTATCACGCTCAGAAAAGTGTGAGTTCTGTCTCTATAGTGTGTCAATATATGGGTGTGTGTAAAATCACCCATGTATTTGTTTACATGTTTCAATGTGCATTATTCACATGTTTGTGTATGTACGTGTCCATTGTTAGCTTTATAAAAAACAGTTGTTCATGAGGAGTCGGTTATCACTAATACCAAGCCCCTTTCTTACAATGGCTATTCTTTCTTTCAATATAGCTTATTTGTGGAATGCTCTATTTGATTAAAGAATAGAAAATTGAACCAAACCGCAAAATACGCTTATTGTGAAGCTGTTTTGACCCTTACGAGCTGAGCTATATCGTGAATTTGTTAAGAGGCTAGGGTGTTGATCTCTTTCTTTGACAGGTTGATGCTGCCGATCTTCAGTATCAAAATCAGAAACTTGTCCGGCACTTGGATTTACAGAAACAAGAATTGCATGATCTTGAAGAAAAAATAAAAGAATTACAAGTTAAACAAGCAGCTTATGATGACATATTGATTTCAATAAACCAGCTATGGAATAAGGTGTTTTTTCTAGAGTGTTTCTGTTTTTTCCTTTCATACCTCCAATTTTTCTGTTTTTTGTCTCTCACTTATTGTGTTATTCTTTGGTAACTTCTAGGTAGATGATGACTTAATCCTTGTTGGAGCAAAAATTAAGACAGATCAAAGACCACTGCAGCGGTTAAGTCATGTGGATCATTCTCGAGGTTTATTGCCTACAAGTTTCAATGCTACCCTTAAATTTTGATATAGCCTAAAAAATTTGGAGTGTTATGTTCTGCGCAGGCATATCTCACTCTCTTGCATTTTGCCTTATAGATTCAATTCCATCTTGCCCTGTAGAAGATATTTTTCTATGTAGAATATTGAATAAGGATTCTATTCAAAGTGGTGGGCATGGTGTATTGATTGCGGATGTGAAAGAAGCTCTGGATTTCAGACGTTCTTACACTATGGAGCTGATGACATCCTTGGAAAGTGCTTTTGATGCTCAGAGCTCTAAATTGAAAGAGGTTACTAATGTTTTGGATGTAAAACCATCTTTAGCAGGTGAGATGTAGGAGATATTGTGATCAGTGTCCAAGCATTCCTCCTTAACTGCATATTTGATGTTTAAGGTCCCAAGTTTGATTTGCTATGTTATTATGAGCCCATTTGGTAATATTGAAATTAGTTGAAGCAATTGAATCCGCCGAAATGGGCGAAACTTTGGCCGAAGCGGCTGAATTGACTGAATCTGCTGAATTATGAAAAAAAATTATTTAAAATATATTCTATGAAAGAAATTAAGAAATGTGTATATGAACTTATGAAGAATAGTTAAAATAGTCATCTTCAGCCAATTAAGATACAAAAGTAACTCCAACCTTACTTATTTTGATTATTACACAATTCAGCACACGAAATCAAAAGTTACGTGTTTGGTAAAAAGATGGCTGACGAAGCAGATGAGCCGAAAACTGGGGTTACCAAGCAGGCTCTATATGTTGCTTTATTGTATGATCATGAACTTAGATTAATAATAAATTTTGTCATTGAACTTATATGCTTCAGATGTTACAACTCTCTCAAGCAAGATTGATGATGCAATGAAAGATGAGGCATGCATATTGCATCTTTTGATCCATGCTCTTCATCAGAGGCATCAAGAATATGCAAAAGCAGTTGAGATTGATGAACAAAACCCAAAGGATCGATTAGAATTAAAGCGCCTTGAGGGTATGTGGAATATTCTCCATTTTATGGTTTTCCAGCCATATTTAATGAACTTGCTCTCATAGCTATTGTAAATATTTTAGTTACTGAAATAGAAGCTGATTTACATTTACTAGTTATGTTTAGACATGACGATCCAACTGTTACATGGTTTTTAATGGTCGAGTATTAACTTACTAAGTTTTCATAAATAAAGGTGAACTCGAAGAAAGTGTGGCAGAACTTGAAGAAAGTAGAAGAAAGCTAGTTAGTTTGAAAATGCAGAAAGAGGCTGCTTCAGCACGAGAGCCAGCAGTTATGGGTTCAGTAGATGGGAATTCATATAGAACAAGGAGCGTTCAGGAACTGAAGGACACCATTGAGGAGACAAAGGTTCTATAACCTTGGCTTTGTATTTGCAAGTCTGTGTGTTTTTGTTATCTCTGGTTCTTTTTATTTAATGTGTTTGTCCTCATCATATTTCATATGGTATAGGTTTTGGCAGAGGACCGCCTTGTTGAACTTCAAGATGCACAAGAAGACAATTCTGTCCTGCTAAAGCAGTTGCAGGATCTCAAGGTCTCAAATTACTACTTTTTTAATGAGCATTTGAAATCTGCATCTTCACTTTTCTTATTGTTAAGTTTGACAATATACAGCCAGTTTTTATTGTAGTTGTTCATTGTTCCATTATTCATCCCTCTATGTTTAGATCAAGTTGTATGGAGTAAATTTTCCTTTCCAGTATCAAGAAAATACTTCTAATTTTTAAAGTGACAGGCAAAGTTTTCTTTTACAATATTTATTTATTTATATATTTATTGTTTGTTTGTTTTTGTGTGGGAGAGGATGTTCCACACTGCCACCTATAATTTCAGAAATACTGGGTAAGTTATGAACTTGTCATCATCAACCTAACTCGAACTTAAGGCCGGTGTCATGAAATTTATAGTGTTTATTAATTGTTTAGAATTAGCTAAGACTGGACTGAATCACAAGAACATTGTGGGAATGATTATACTGAAGGCCTTTCTTGTAGCAGCCTTCTTGGTGTACCGATCAACAACATCCAAGCCTTAGTCCCAAAAGATATTGGGGTCGGCTAACATGAATCGATACATGATAACACCACCAAAAGGAAAAGAAAGAAAATAAAGATAAAAAATTAAGCTGTTATAAAAAAAAGATAATATAAAACGGGATGAATATACTTAAAAATGATAAAATAAAAAGGATAAAAATAATGTTTATATATATAAGGATAAAAGAATAAAAAACAAGAAGAAAAAAGATGAAGGGAAATAATAATGATACGAGATCACTCCTCCACACGAATACCCGCCCTCCACTTTGCTCTCTCCAAAGCCATACCCTCATCCAACCCAAGAAGAAGCATATCACTTCGGACTGCCCTAACCCACGTCTGTTTGGGTCTTCCTCTCTCTCTTCCCTGCCTCTTCTCCACACATCTCAACACGTCTGACAGGTGCATCATTCGGTCTTCTACGCACATGACCAAACCACCGTAGGCGAGACTCCCGCATCTTGTCTTCAATAGGTGCTACTCCCACCCTTTGTCTGATTGTCTCATTTCTCACGTGGTCCTTCCTAGTATGCCCACACATCCAACGCAACATGCGCATCTCTGCCACACTCATCTTTTGGATGTGACATTGTTTCACCGCCCAACACTCTACGCCATATAGCAATACAAGCCTAATTGTTGTCCTATAAAATTTACCCTTCAGTCTGGTCGGCATACCTCTATCACATAGAAATCCTTCCACTTCATCCACCCTGTTCTGATTCTATGGGATACATCTCCATCTAACTCACCGTCCTTCTGAATTATGGAGCCTAAGTAACGGAACATATCACTGACCGGTATCTCCTTACCATCTAGAGTAATTCCACTATTACCACTGCTTCTACCTCCACCAAACTTGCACTCCATGTACTCTGTTTTGCTCCGACTTAGTCTGAAACCCTTGTTCTCCGATGTTTGTCGCCATACTTCCAACTTTGCTTTAAGACCCGATTGTGTCTCATCAATCAATACAATATCGTCGGCAAACATCATGCACCAAGTATTTCGTCTTGAATTGACTTCGTAAGTTCATTCATGACTATGGCAAATAAGAAAGGGCTCAGAGCCGATCCTTGGTGCACTCTGATAGTAATAGGGAACTCCGCAGTCCTCCAAAAAACTTCTCGAGGTACCCTATCATAAGCCTTTTCTAAGTCAATGAACACCAAACGCAGATCCTTGTGAGCGTCTCTATACTTCTCCATAAGCTGCCGAAGAAGGTGAATGGCCTCAGTTGTTGAGCGATCGGGCATAAAACCGAATTGATTCTCTGAAATCTTCACAGTTCTTCGAATTCTTCACAGTTCTTGGTGTACCGATCATGAGATGAAATCCCAAAGTTGTCATGATATCATGACTGCATGGAAAATATCATGACAGTGATGCACTTAGATATTGCTATTGTTATGTCTCATTATTTATGGGTCAGTGTCAGTACAAAAATCTCTAGTGGCTCAACTGAAAATTTGAAATTATCGCTTAATAAAGTAATGAAAAAGGAGGAAAAGTGGGCAACTCAAAGGGAATTTTGCATTTTTTGTTCTTAAGTTGTGAACTCTTAGTCGATTGTCTCTAGTTTCCCACTTTTGCAATTATAGTCCTTAGTTGTTGTACTGTGTTGTGTTATAAATTCCTTCCCTGATACATCAAGTCTGCTCCCAACAAGTGTTAGAGCTAAACATTAATGCTTTATTTGCTGACTAAACTCAAGGATGATAATTTTTTTTATTCAACTTGTGTTTATACTATGTTGATTGGGAAACCTCGTTTTTTTTAATAACACTTGTCCGTCAGTAGCGTTAGGGCTATAATCAAGCAAGTGCGGAAGCTAAATCTTGATGCTCTCTTTACAGGCTGACCGGAGAGATGATAAATTTGTATATTCATCTCGTGCTTATACTATATTGATTGATCAACTTCATCACTGGAGGGCTCAGGTGGATCGATACAAAGAACTAGTGGAGTATCCTCAGGTTAGGCCACATAAGTTTTCATGTATCTTTTGGGGCTTAATAGGGTTTGAGGCTTAGACTTGTGGAAGAGTAGTTAGCTGAGGGACACTCCTCAACTGAAAAGTAAATTCCAATCCTTTTTTTGCTTGATTTTTTTTATCCAGGCTGACAGGTCTCTCATTGCATGGAGGGACAAAGAATTGACAGTCAAAGCGGAGTCTGTGGATGGTGCTCATAAGTTTATAAATGATTCAGAGTTAAAGATTGGAGAACTGGAGCATGAACTCCAGGGATGCATTATTGAAAACAATGAACTGGCAGTCAAAATGGAAGAAGCCCTTCAAGATTCAGGTTTACTTGATTTTGAGATTTAATCTTCCAACTATGGTGGCATTTTTACATTGAGTCCAGCCTTTTAAATTTCCCCAAATTACATCATTGACTTCAGCAATTCAATGTTTTTGCATATTCAATCCTCATTGAGGATAAATTTAAAAGCTAGGAGTCCTGGGACTTAATATGGCTAAAACCGTCAAACAAAAGACGTGACCAGATATGGAAATGACACCATAGTCAGGGATTATAATGGAATCAACTCTTCACATTGTTGTTGCATTATGATCTTAGAAAGAAGCTTCAATTTTGCAGGTCGAAATGACGTTAAATCTGAGTTTCAGGTAATGACTTCTGCTTTGTCAAAGGAAAAAGGAATGATGAGAGCTCAGTTGAACCGGTGGAAGGATGCAGCTCAAGAGTCCCTTAGCTTGCAAGAAGAAGCACATACACTCAAAACTTCACTGGAAAATAAGGTTAGATCATGGTGCAATTTTAATGTTTTATGTGTCTGATATTTAAAGATTGATTGATCTTGTAGCAAGATCTGTGAGGAAACATTTCCTTTTCTCCTCCCTACTTAACTGTTTTGTCTGGATCGCCGATTCACTGAGTTAGAGATGAATTTACTATGCCAAGTTTCCATTATTAAATTAAGGTACTAAAAACAGATAGATAAGTTTACTAGATAGCACAAATTTGAGACTAGAAATGTGAAGATTCTATATAGGTGGAGTGCCATGGCTATAATCAAAGACATGATTGATTCCCATTCCCCTGTATAAAATGAGTGAAGATTTTTCTCTACTTATAACGGTGTTGTTACTTGTTCATGACGCCTTAAGTTATGTTATTTCAATGAAGAGCCAACACGCTCTGTTATTTAGTCGCCAAGTACTCGAGAAGTTCTCACCGAGTAGTTGTTACTTAGACTCTGAAGTCTGAACATTGTGGAGTTGTCTATGTACTCGATCCCATTAGAAACCTGGGTTACTAAGCCAATACTAGGCATTTTTAGCGACTCAGCAAGACTCGGTGGTAATTAAATGTGAAAGCCCGAAAATAATATATGGATTATTATCAGATTTAATAAAACAATTTTGACGGAATTAATAGTTGGTAAAACTATAACTTTTCATTTAAGATGTTTTTCTTGAACCAAATGATGCCCTCTAGGATATAAGAAGTTAGGATTGACTAGATGATTAGACCCTTTTAAAATACTTTATGAGTATTGCTGGTAGTTATCATGGATTGTTAATTTTTTCATTATATATAAGACTTATACTACTAATATTATTTAAATATTGTAGCTCATACTTTTAAAGTCTTATTAATATAGGGCCGACTAATCAGTTCTAATCACTACTCGGCATTTGAGTGGGTAGTAATGAGTAACAACCTAACTATTTAGCCAGCGCGTCCTCAATGTTATCTTTATGGGTTTTGGGATAACAAAACTGGTGTTAGTTTTTCAAAGGAAGTCTATGTGACACCAGTTTCTATGGGCATTTAAGAAAACAACCACAAAATTCGTGTGCTATTTTGTTATTTTTATTGCAGGGCTGATGGAATTGGGAAGGTGATCATGATGTTTTTCCTTGCTACTGCCTTATTTTATCATGAGATTTACGAATTTGTTACTGACAGATTACTGAGCAAAAGGATTTGTCAGACAAATGTGCTCAAAATTTTGGAGTGATTAAATCATTAAAGACACTTGTAAGTTTTGCGAACAAGCCTATTAATTTATTACTCAATGAATTTTGGACTTTTTATTACTTCAGGTTATACTTACTGAAACTTTTGTAGGTAGAGAAAATGCAGCAGGAACAGGAAGAGCGTAAAATAATATTGGACATGCATAGTCAGCAAATCTATGATAATAGGTAGGCCGTAGGTCCGCCTGAACATGCATAGTTCATGTTAAGTGTAATATTCTGAGCAACAATAGCAACGGGAAATGATTGAGTGCAGAAATGACTATCTTGAAATATTTTATCTGGGACGTGATATACTCATACATTTTTTATTAAGTTGAACTTTTTAAGTATTAATTTAGTACTCTCTGTCCCACTGGACTTTGCCAACTTTCTTTTTTTGTTTGTCCCAAAAACTCTGCCTCTTTCCATTTAAAATAAATAATGCTCCCTCCGTTCAGTTGAGAACTTCCCACTTTCCTTATTTGAGTGTCCCTTTTAAAGGTTTTCATTCCATTTTAGGAAATAAATTACTCTCTTTAATTACACATTTTTTCAAATTTCTCTTTCCTACTCACTACATGTCAAGTCTCACAATTTCCCCTCCCCCAACTTATCTCCCTGTAATGTAATTACTTTAACTTCAAATGTTTACTTTTTCTAAATTTTCTCTTTCCTCTCTTTTTTACCCAAATTACTTTATTTAACCACTTGCCTAAAAAATCGTGTCATTTACTCACGGGAACCTTCCGATGGGATGGAGGGAGCATGTGATTCTATGTATTTCTCTCTTCTCTCTCCTCTGCACAATTCTGAAGTCTGAACCATACAATTTTACTTTTCTTATTTCATACCTAACACAAACTTGGCAATGTCCAATGGGACGGAAATAATAATACTACCTCATCCCAAAATGAGAGTCTCATTTCTTTTGGGATCAAAGATTAAGGAAGTGGTTGAAACGGTAAAAGTTGTGGTTGAGATTTGATTAGAAAAAGGTGAAATAATGTGGACCACATCTTTCTTTCCAATAAGGGAAATGGGACTATCAATTTGGGACGGCCCAGAAAGGAAATATGAGACCATCAAATTGGGACGGAGGGAGTATATATTAATGTGGTGATATTCAATTGTGGCAATAAAAGTTTCAACTATTTCTAGAAATGTAATGGAAATTCAAGAATCAGAACGTAGAGCTCACTTACAAGCTGAGTTTTTGAGAAATGCTCTTGATGAACATGGCCTTGAATTGAGAGTCAAATCTGCTAATGAAGCCGAGGCAGCTTGCCAACATAGGCTTTCTACTGCAGAATCAGAACTTGCGCAATTAAGGGCTGAATTGGAAGCTTCAGACAGGTTCATTTATTGTTTACTCAAATCAAATTTGTATGATATCATGGGTGTAGACCATTTTGGTCGACTATACCACAGCTCCTGAAGGTAATGACGGGTAAACCGCTTGAGCAAACAATTGGGGTTTTATTTACTTTTTTTAATCCATACAGGGTGGACATCAAAATCTCAAAATCTTAATGTTGAATCTCTCACTCTGCTACGTGCATATTTGTTTATGCATTTCGCTATCTCTATCTGTAACATGATCTAAGCTTTATGTAGATGCGTAACAGTTATTGTAATGTGGCTTTTGTTATTTCATATTTTTTTGGGTGCAATGAATTCCATATTTTTCAAGCTACCAGATCAGTCTTATGCTATGCAACATACCTATGGCTGAGTCCAAACTCAACAGAATGGTTATAGTATGCTCTGATATGGGAGATGTGGTGGTATAGGTTATTCTACTGATTCTTTGAGTCTTCACACCGATAAACTTTTCTGATCCAATAATAAATGTTGAGTCTTTGCATACTATCAAGTTTATACCTTTTTTTTATCAAGTTTATACCTGCAGAAGGATAATTATCAAAATCTGAAAGCAATTGAAAACTTGCTGGTTTTTAGTTCTGGCACAGTACCTATGTGTGTGTGCCACTACTATAGCCTTTGACCTTGTTGCAATCTTCAATGAACAGTAGTCTACTTTTTATTTACTCAGCCATATCCTCTGCTTTGATCACTTGCAGGGATCTCTTTGAGCTCAGAGAGACCTTCAAAATGAAAGAAGGAGAAGCAGAAGCATGTATATCTGAGATTGAGGTGTATCTATGTTTAAAGTATGCTTGTTATTAAAGAAAAATAGAAAATAAAAAATGCTGAAAGCCAAGTAAAAACTTGACATGTTCTTAATGGACAAGTTTGTCTGTCAAATACTGTTTCTCACCTTTTCTTCTTGTGAATCTACTTATATGCAGACTATTGGACAAGCTTATGAAGACATGCAGAACCAGAATCAACATCTGTTGCAGATGATGGCTGAAAGAGATGAACTTAATATAAAGGTTTGTGTTTTGGTACTTCCGTTGGTTTTTTTTGTCTCTTTGAAACTGAAGTCATTCTTCAACAAATGGAGTAGAGAGAGATGTTAGCTTAAGAGATGACTCTTCTGAAATATCTGCAGCTGGTCTCCACAAGTGTAAAGACAAAACAGTCACAGAGCTTACTACTCTCTGAAAGACACACATTAGCTAAACAACTTCAACAATCTAAAACTACACTCACATCTTTAAAACTGAAGGTTGCCCAGAGTGAGGAGCAGGTATATATTCTTAATGATGCATTTAATAGTTTGTTTCTGATTTGAAGTGTTTAGTTATTCTTAATGATGTATTTTATAGTTTGTTTCTGATTTAAAGTGTTTAGTTACCCGATGTGCAACCATGTAGATGAAAGGCTACATTATGGAAGCTTTAAGCTCTGCTGAGGAAGACGGACAGGAAATAGTTTCCCTTGAGAGTATGAAGTGGGAATTGATGGATGCTGAGAAGGAACTGAAGTGGTTGAAATCTTCAGTGTCGTCTTCTCAGAAAGAATATGATCAGATCAAGCGAAAGATCGATCAAATACAGACAGAACTTGTCACTGAAAGGTTATAGTCACTCATTTTATATATTCTTTTAAGTAGGTTTATAGTCACTCATACACCTTAATTTTTAGTCACTCATACACCTTAATTTTGTCTTACTGTGGATCTGTGGGATTTCTTTGGTGCTGATAATTGTCAAATGTCTGCACTAAAAAGTCTTAAATGGTCAAGAATGACCCTGCAGATGTTTTGTAATCTTGTAGGAATCTGATGTTTAGTCTTCAGATGTTGGGCCATATTTAGTGGTCTGGGATTGACTATTAAACCAATGAATTTTTGGGCTGATTTCATTACATTGTTCTAGCAGAAGTGAGAAGACAAAACTTGATGAAGAGCGAACGGATTTGAATAAAATTGTTGCTGAGTTAACATCTGAGACCGTGGAAGCAGCAGTACAGAGACTTCAGGAAGAAATCAATGACTGCAAAGCTATTATCAAATGTGGTGTCTGTAGTGATCGACCCAAGGAGGTATTGACATATGTTTATTTATTGCATGGAAATAGCAGTGTTTAACTCTCCTTGCATCCTTGTGATAAGCATATAAATTCAACATATAGGTTTCCCATCAGAAGGGAATCAAACAGCATTAAATTATTTTGTGGAGAATAGATTAGCTATGGCTGTATGGAGTGAGCCATTCAGTGGTGATTATATTATATTATTATTGTTGTAGTTCGAGTTCTCAGATCTTCCTTAGTGTAAAACAGCCATAACAGCAACATATATTCTATCCTTATATTGTTGCTATATTATTGGCTTTATTTGTGGATTCACTAGATTTGTCATTTGCATAAATTGTCAATTTGTATGTTTGAAATCAGGATAAAGAATGTTGAACTACTTTATATCTAGTATGTGTATCATGTTGAGATAAATTGACAAGAATAAAATATTTTATCCATTGGGTTCTCTCTTCATCCAACCAGTTATTGTGCTTGGTTCTGAAATAGTTGAAAACAAATATATTTGTTGCTTTTACTTTTGATGCAGTTAGTCTGAGTTTCTGAGCTTATGTTTGTCCGGGATGTTGATATTTTTCATTTTTGCAGGTTGTAATTGTAAAGTGCTATCATCTGTTCTGCAATCAATGTATTCAAAGGAATCTAGAGCTCCGCCATCGGAAATGCCCTGGTTGTGGAACTGGATTTGGGCAAAATGATGTGAAGCGTGTGAAAATCTAAATCAGCCACCATTGCTGGTCAGTAAAGTTGTATAGTACAGAGACCCATCATTTTGCCTCCTTTTTGGGAAGGATCACAGTTTTTGCCACTATGGTAACCTACCATCAACATGACCTCACGGTTTCTTCCCTTCTCTTTTATAGATCATTATTAGATTGTCTTCACTTCAAAAAAGATGCAAAAAAAAGGGAAGAAACGAATCAGAGGCTCAACAGGGGCTGGGTAAAGAAGAAGATATATGCATGTAGTAGCTTTTAGGATTAATTATTATTTATGCAAAAACAATTTTTTTGTGCTAATGACTAATGTAGATTTGTCCAGTTTCTTTTACCTACACTTTTGAAACAAGATATTGCATCTTAAAAATTAAGATATGTTTTCCATTAGTCAGAAATGCAGCGTGGATGAGAAACTGGCCAAAAGTAACCTCCTTGCTCAGACCAGTTCTACTTGCAGTCAGTCCTAATCCAACCCTACAATGCTCAATACATTGCAAATGCAAAATCGAGATAGCTATCAACAAGTCAACCTTAAATTGCAACTTCGTAAAAGAGCCAAAGCTATAAGGAAGAATCCATCAGAATTCACGAAGCGTTGAACTAAGCTTCGGATATTGACTTAAATTCCAGGATTTCCAGCGTAGTACTACTTTGACCATTGCCATTCAGAACTGTGTAAATATATGGGTTACCGCAAGTAGGCAGAAATGCTTACACCGTATTACGGATTATAAGTTTAAACTGGCTTGTTTAACAATTGGTTGTTAACAGTTAGTTGATTGTGCTAGCGGCCTTAGGATGTTTTAACTCAGATTGTTTTCAATTTCAGATAAGATCAGATTAGACTTATATAGACTAGACCAATTCAGATTTAAACATATCAAATAATATAAGACTTAGATAACTATAAAATACACAGAGATTAGATATTTATCATATGAGATAGTTATCAAATGCACAAAGATTAGACATTTATCAGACCAGTTCATATCAAAATATACAAGACTAGACCTAGGGACGGAAGGGACCACTATAATTTAAAATCGCTCTAGGCGTCCGACTAGTTTCCACCTAGGCCACATGGTTGGAGCACCCAATTTTTGCCTAGGCGCCTCGAATAATTTGTTTGGCTCTTAGTTGCTCGCTCAGAACGCCTAATCGGTTGCATGGGGCTAGGGCTGGACTCGGTTCAGGCCGGGCCCGGTTTGGGCCTTGAACCGGCCGGGCCTCGGTTCACCAAAAGGAGGGCCCGAGCCCGAACCAGACGGTGACCGGTTCCGGGCTGGTTCCGGGCCAGACCAGGCCGGTTCACCCGCCCCATTTTTTTTTTTTGATTTTTTGGCTTCTCTTATTTAACCCCCTACCCCTCCCCCTCAACCCCAAACCACCCCAAACCACCTCAAATGGCCCAAAATACCTAATCCAACTCAAAAATAAAAAAAAAATTCAAAAAAAAATAAAAAAAAAATTATTCCGGCCCGGACCGGGCCCGAACTGGCCGGGCCGGTTCACCAAATTGAGGGCCCGGGCCCGGAACCGGTATCCACCGGGCCGGTTCGACCCGAACCGCCTGTGGACCGGGCCACCGGGCCGGGCCGGTTCCGGTTCAGGCCGCCCGGCCCGAGTCCAGCACTACATGGGGCCTCTAGATTTGATCGAACATTTTTTTGCTTTGTAATTTTCTTTTTGTAAAGGGATATATTTATGTTAAAAACTATATATGTTTGTATGATAACTCATATTAGGTCGGCCTGATGGGAATCGTTGTAAGGTTGATGCCATTTGAGGTCCTTCCTGTAGAATATTTTGATGAAATTTTTTTGAGCATTTTCATCAAGTCTAAATTATTTTCATAAAGTTTTAGCATAAGATTCAAGCGGGAAGTTAGCTAAATAAAATATTGAAACATACTACGCTTTATATATATAAATAATGCGCAGTATGCTTGACCAATTTATTTAACTCACTCCCCGAACGAATTTCCAACTGAAATTTTGTGGAGATCGTTTACACTTGAAGAACACGCTCAAAAACTTTCATAAAAAAATTACACTGGGAAGAAAGTTAGATTTATACTTAAATTTATTACTACATATATATACTTATATTTATTACTACGTATTATTTAGTATTTATAACACAATGAAGTTGAGTGATTAGTTGTCATATATTATTAAATGTCATAATTTTATCACTCATGCATGTTAATGTTTGTATGTTTTTTAACACATACAAACACTATAATCTACTCCGTATCATATTTATGAAAATCACTATAAAAACACAGTTTCTGTGTCTGCAACTAGTCCCTCCTAGGCACTAGGTTGGCGTCCGACTAGCACCTAGCGCCTTTTGGAACATTGGACTCACTAGATCAGACTAGAAAATTTGAGCCCAATAAAAACATCTATCTCTCAAACTTCTCCAACCCTCTCTTTAACTTCTATTTGGATCCTCACAAAATTCTGATTTGCCATGCAATTTTGTGCTTTAATTTATTCCCAGTGAGTCAGGTATCAAAGTATGACGTTTGTCTCTCTTTAACCCTCTCTTTCCTTTCTATTCCTTCCTTTTTGTTTCGTCTCCTTTCCTTCATTTTATTTCTTCTCCTTTCCTTCTTAGTTTATATCAACAATTTTTAATTTACTTCTGGTGAATTTCCTTCCTTTTCAAGTATAAATAAACATCTTTTACACACTCAACTTGTCCAATATTAATTTTGAGTCCTATGATCATGAAGACGGACATGTTTATAAATATCTTTTTCTCCTCTACTTGAACTCCTTATTTCTCATATCTCCAATTTCTCCCAATTTTTTTGTGCGTAGTAGTAATTTCTTGAATTTTTGAATGATATAATGATCTTCTTGAATGGTTCTGCAAAATTCCTCGTCAACCTCAAAAAATTCCTCCAAAGCTTCACGGATGGGTCTGGTCAGCTGCTTAACACCAACAAATGCACAATGATTGGTAGCACACAAAAGTTTTACTCACACACAAGTTTGGAACTCCAATCTATCTAATTATCTATAAAGCTCAAAGAAGGTTCAACAGCCAAATGGCCACACAGTGCCCTTTCTGCCTACAACATCAGGAAACTATGGACCATTGTCTGTTCGCATGCACACTAATCCGTCCAATTTCGGACTATTTCTCTTACATTTTGCAGGTGGGCACTGCAACATATGAGGACTTCTGAAACACATTTTTATATCCACCTTATACTCATTGTGAGGAGTTTTTTTTGTCTGTGAATCCGATTCACAGACAATAATTTGCATAGACATATTTGGTCGGTGACCAGGATTCATAGACAAAAAAAACTCCTCACAGACATGGCGGGTACAAAAGTGGGTATAAGAGTGGCTGCAAACAGTTTTTTGTTATTTAAATGGTGGATAGGTGGGAAAACCGACAACACAAAACAAGAATTAAGACAAGTCATGCCAAGAATAATCATGTGGGTAACATGGAAGAGCTACAATGCAAATATATGGGAAACAAGGGTCTCCCTGTTTGACCCCCCTTGCTTTCCTACTTCTTTCTTCTTTCTTTTCTTTTTTAAACTACTTTTCTTTTTTACTAAAAAAACTACTTTTCTTTAATTTTATATTCAATTTTTATAAAAAAATGTATAATATAATTATGTAAAATATTATTTGATGTCCCAGTTGTTTATCTTTTTCCAACCAACCTTCTGATTTAAGTTTTTTTAATTTATGCATTATAAAATATTTTAGGTATTAATGTTTTTTTCTATGTTTTATTTTAAGATGCATATTTATTATTTTACTAGGTATAAAATATTTTGTGTTATACTAAAATGAGTATAATGTAAAATAAATGTGCATGAGTAAATATTATAAAAACAACACAATTATACTTGTAATTCAAGAAAGACTATAAATTATTTTCAATAAAATAACTTTATATTTCTCATTGTTATACATAATGATATTTTATTAAATTGTAAATAACAAATCTACTAGATGTACATATTGTAGAAAGGAGTTTATGACTTTATGTTATATATTCGAATGAGTATAACAATTAAGAAAAGAGCATATACGAACGAATATTTGAACACATTAGAGAATTCAAACGCGCTTTTGAATTTTCATCTAATATTGGTTTTATGCTCATTTCAAAACTAACATACTCTGTATTACATTAGATTCGCATCAGAGTTGATTATAGACACGAGAGCTGAGATCATGATACTCAATTGCTTGCATCTAATACTCAATAGAGAAGGTTTGGTGCTCAATAAAAATGTCTTGATGCTTACCTAACAAAGCTTATTATTCTCATATCAATGCTCATTTTATAAATTTTGCATGCTCATTTTGTACTGGTTTAATGCTCAATTTAAATCATATCAATGCATATTTAAAAAGTAGCATATTACATTAGATTCACATATTAAAATTCTTAGGAGTTCATTATAAATATAATTTAAGAATTTTTTATAAAAGAAAAACCAAGAAAAAGAAAGAGAATTAGTAGATATAAAGCAGAGATCACGATGTCATTGTTAGACTCCTAATACTCAACATAATATATTGATGCTCATTAAGATTGCTTTATTGCTCATCTCAGAGAAATCACGATTTTCACAAAATTTACAAAATTGTCACCGGTTGTACTGTGCAAGCCGTACAGCCGGCTTTACCGCATAGGCACTCATCTACCACCGGCAAGTAGCACTACTGATACTGTGAAATGAAGTCACAAAACTATGAATTCGTGAAAGTGTCCTTTTTGGATTTTTATCCGTGATCCTTGAGTTTAAAGCAAAATGGCTCACCAAACTGTCTACGCTTCTTTGTTATGAAGTAGCAGTTAATCCTTGCAATTTTCGATGCTATTTTCACTATGGGTCATCCGGAAACAGTCTCTCTGTGCTTTAGTACAGGGGTAAGACTGCGTACATCCGACCCCCTCTTACCCCACCGTAGGTGGGAGCCTTTGCGGCACTGGAGTAAATGAAAGTGAAAATGAAAATGAAATGATCCGTGAGTTTAATGCACCAAACCCCTCGTAATATACTTGTATAAATTTAGTGTATTAGCCTTTGTGATATAAAAAAGTATCAATCTTCTCTGTGCTATAATTATTCATGTGAACAAATTTAATTGTCAAATACACAAAAAATGATTATTGTTTTCATAATTTAGAGATCTTGACAAATTTACTAGCATATTCAATCATAATATTAGAATTTATTGCACCAAACCCATTGTGATATATAAATTCGACGCATTAGTCTCTGTGATTTAAAAATATGTCAAGCCCCCTGTTTTGTCATTATGCATGCACAAAATCCCATCCAAAAACAAATTTAACATTTTATAGAAAGGGAAAACTGTCAAATAGGTCCTCGAACTTTCATAAAAAGTCAATTAAATCCTTCTATAGGAGACGCTGTCCGGTCGTCGCGATTTGGGGCGGTTCCCGGTGGAATTTTTTTGATGAAATTTTTTGAGCATCTTATTCATCAAGTCTAGTTTACTCATACCAAATTTCAGCTAAAAATTTAATCGGGAGCGCATTCAAATTAATTCGAGAACGCAAAAATGCGCAGTTATCTTCAAGAATTAATTTGAATGTGTTCCCGATTGAATTTTTAGCTGAAATTTGGTATGAGTAAACTAGACTTGGTGAATAAGATGTTCAAAAAAATTCATCAAAAAATTCCACTGGGAACTGCCCCAAATCGCGACGGCCGGGCAGAACCTCCTATAGAAGGACTTAATTAACCTTTTTATGAAAGTTCGAGGACATATTTGACAGTTTTCCCTTTTAGAAATCACTTGTCTTCATATTATGATTAAATATGCT